GGCGACATGGCGCAACGTCGGGAGCGAGCGCTTCATGCCCTCGCCCAGATGCAGCTGGCCCCATCTCGAATGACGGCAAGGCAGGAGCTTCGCTCTGAGACCGAGGGCTGCAGGGGCTGCGGCGGCAGCGGCTGCGCGAAGCTTGGCCGACGATGTGCGACATGCGCCGCCGCACGCTGCGACGCCTAGCCCACGCCGCCGTCGCCGCAACCGCCGCCGCCCGACGCCCTGTGAGGATCCAGCCATGCCGCCCAGCGACAGCGTCCCCACCTGTCCAGCTGCGGCTGAAGAGCTTGGAGCCGCTACGAGTGCGACGCAGGCTGGCATTCCCGCAGCGGCATGGACAAGCCTGGACGAAGTCAATTTGGCAACGGAGTTACAGCACCCTGTGCCTACCCTGCAAGACGTCCCGCCCTTCATGCGCGCCGCGGTGCGGGGCGCCTTGGTGTGCGCTCTCCGACGTTTGCACAGCGACTACGCGCACAGTGCCGGCGACATTGCCGCGACATCGCGCGTGTGGAAGCTGTTTCTACTGGCACCGCGGATGCTGTTGGCCCGCACCGCACAACAAGGTGCGGAAGGGCGAGCCGAGCTGCTGGCCAGAGCAGCCGCCTTCGAGCGAGGCGACTGGACGCGACTGCTGCGCGAGCGGCAAGCCCGGCCCCACACGCCCCGCTCAGGATGCGGAGACCCTGGAGACGGACCGACAGCGCCGAGCTTGCGCGAAGGTGAAAATGGGTGAATTGACCCGGGCACGCCATATCCTTACTGCGGCCGACGAGCTGGCGCCGGGTGATGAGACGACCTACCGGCCACCGGAACCGCGCACTGAGGTCCCCGCCGCTGTTCAAAAGCACCAGCCAGCGCAGCCAGTACGCCTGACTGCGAAGGCTGTTGCCGCGGCCCTTCGTGATGCCCGCAGGGGCGGCGTGGCAGGCCTCTCCGGTATGCGCGCTGAACATTTGAAGCTTTTGCTGCAGGACCTCGACGCGGTTAACCTGCTCACGGAAGCTGCGACCCGCCTGGCGCGAGCGCAAGTTCCCACCGACGTCGCTGACGGTCTTGCCCGAACAAGACTGACAGCCTTGCGGAAAACGGATGGGGGGTGCGAGGCATCGCTACCGGGGACGAACCCTCGCGAAGGCGTGGGCCGGGACCTTTGACCAGGCGACTCGCCCGTACCAGCTCGCGCTGCAGGCGCGGGCTGGCACGGATGCTCTAGCAGCCCACGTCCGCGCCGCACTGGCACTGCGCCCGGACACCGTACTGGTGTCGCTTGATGGACGCAGTGCCTACGACTGCATGTCCCGGGCAGCATTCCTCACCAAGCTCCACAAAGTCGCGCCCGAAATGCTGCCCTTTGTGCGCCTGTTTTATGGCCGACCCTCCACCTACAGCTGGTGGGACGACCAGGGGCGATGTCGCGAAGTCAAACAAAGTGAAGGCTGCGAGCAAGGGGACCCCCTGGCCCCCGCCTTGTTCGCCTTGTGGGGCAGCACAATGCCCTGCACCGAGCGGCGGCCACCCTTCACCCCGACGACAGCTTGGTCGCGTTTCTAGACTCTAGACGACCTTTACATCACCACGACGCCGTCCCGCGCAAGAACGTCGTTGGACGCTGCTGTCGAGGCCGTGGCCGACCACTGTGGCATCGGGCCCAATTTGGGCAAAACACGAGCGATAGGTGCGTGTGAGGGGCCCGCGCCACCAGGCATCGCGGAGCTCGGCGACGAAGTGTGGAGAGGTGATCTGAGACCCGATCATCGCGGCATCGTCGTTCTGGGCACCCCGGTTGGGCACCCGGACTTCGTTCACGCCTGGGCAACCCGGCGCCTAGAAGAAGAGGAGCGGCTGCTCCGCCAGCTGCCGAAGCCTCCGGACCTGCAGTGCTCGTGGTTGCTTCTGCTGCTGTGCGCCCTCCCCCCGTGCGAACCACGCTCTACGCACGGTGCCACCGCAGGAAATCCTTGCCTACGCCCGACGCTCAAGCAATGCCTCGGGGGCGCAGCTGAACCCGAAGCTCTGCATGCGCGAAATCTGGCGACTCTGCCAGCCTACCTTGGTTGGTGGCCTGGGACTGCAATCGGCGGAGCGCACTTGCCCAGCAGCAGATGCTTTGCTGGTTATCCACGCCCGACTGCCTCATTTTGTCGAGTTTTACGTATCAGGGAGCACTGGAGCGTGGCGGCGACGACGCCCGCAGCCTGCGCGCCGCTGCCGAGGCCCGCGAGCTCCTACAAGCAGAAGGTTGGGAAGCCTGCCCAAGCTGGCGAGCGGTCCTCCAAGGAGCCCGCCCGGCCCCACCGCAACACACCGGCCCCGGAGACTGGCCACATGGTTGGCAATTTCATGCGTCGCGAACTCGCAACCAATATTTCCGCGACAGTATGATGCTGCCGGCTATGCCGCCGGATGCCCGGGCGTTGGTGCGGTCCCAATCAGGGCCTCATGCAGGGTCGTGGCTCACCGCCATACCAGCCGAGCCAGCCATGACGCTCGCGCCCCAGGCCATGCAGCTGCCGCTCCCCATCTGCCACGGCAGATGCGGAATATGCGGACCGACACACGGCTGTGGCGCAGCAGTCGACCAACTCGGCGACCACGCGCTCGCTTGCCCGCGAACCGGCTTGCTCGCTCGGCGCGCAAAGATAGTCGAACGAGCCTGGGTCCGCATCGCGCGCGAAGCCGTCGGTGCCGAAGGGCAGGTCGTGCCGCAACAATGGCTTGTCCACACCACAGCACCCGCGGTGCGTGCGGATGACAGACGCCGGTTAGATGTGGTCATCTACGGAGCGACGCCCAACGGCTCCGCGCTTTGCTGCGATGCGACACTGGTATCACCACTCACGCGCACAGGACACCCGCAAACATGCACGGCCGATGTCGACGGCGCCGCCCTGCGAACAGCAGAGCGCCGCAAGGCAGCGACCTACCCGGAGCTCCGGAGCCAAGGGCCGCAGAAGCTCGTCGTGCTTGGCAGCGAGGTCGGAGGGCGCTTCTGCGAGACGTGGTTCGCCTCCGGTCGTACAGAGCGCCGCCAGCCCTATGGGCCGCAGCGGCTTCAGGCTGGACGCGTCGCTGGTGGGGCATGCTGTCTGTCGCAGTGCAACAGGCGGTTGCCAGCACTGCCTTGGGCCAGCCATGGCCCCAACCGACCTCGCAAAGGCCGATGGGCCGAGCCGCCTGCCGCTGCGACTCCGGGTGTAGCAGTAGATCTTCCCTAGGACCCACAGACCTGACACGAAGTGGGCAGGTGCAAAAAGGTGTGTGTAAAAAAAAACAACCTGCCTCCTCATTTGGTTTATCCCATTTCTTAAACCCGCCCCTCGTTCGGCGATTATCTTAAGCACGCCCCTTCATGCGATCCCGGTTAACCACATTTCTTAAGCCCACCCCTTCGTTTGGCGATCCCGAGCCATCATATACGTGTTAAACTATCTTACACACGCCCCCTCATTAAAAAAATTCAACCCGCTCCCTCAATCCAGACATGCTTTAAGCTCGCCCGATACAGTATCTTATGGTGATCACGAGACATGACATTTCTTAAGCCCCGCTAGCACCAGCGCCAACGCCCGCCAGACCTTCCCCAAAAAAACCGCAACGCAAACACAGCAGCATGTGCCAGCACCAGCACCAGTGCTCCCTCAGCGCCAGTGCCAATGCCTGCCAGTTATCTTGCCATCCCACCAGCGCCAGCGCCAGCCCCAGACCCAGCCCCACCCAGCCCCAGCGTCCTCGCTGCTAAAATCGGGGGGCCGTTGGAGCGGCGAATGCCAGCAATTCTTCCGCACCCTGCTCCGTCTCCGCGTGCAGCACGCCCCGCATGTGCAGCCTAGGGCGCGCGGCGCTGGTGGAGCGTGTTGTCCGTGGCCCCACAGCGAGCCGTAATCAGCTCTGCGCAGGGCATGTGGTCCATATCGCCCAGCTCGCTTGTTTGCAAGCCCTGCGCACTGGCTCCATTTCGAAACGATGCCACTCAGGGCTGGTTCAGCCGATGGTGGGGGCTGCTAGCGTCGCGGTGCAAAACATACTGCCTGCCACTGCTTGGCGATGGGTGGAGCCCAGCTGCTTGCCGGCTCGAGCTGCGGCACACTGTAGCTCGGGAGTGTGCAGGAGCTCTCGGACCCGCGCGTGAGTCAGTCGAAAAGTCATGGGAGAGCAAAATTAAGAAGGTACGCGCTTAGTGGCTACAACGCTGCCCTTTCAAACTCCGAACACAACGAGTCGGCAGGCAACGGCGTGCATAGTGCACGGAGGAGCTCCGGGTAAGTCTCTTGTGCTTTTGTTGTGTTTTTGCGGGTGAAGCGTGATGCGAGGTTTACAGGCAGCGTTAGGCTGCGGGCAGGTCGTCGTGTGTGTTGCTTCGAAGGCGAGTTTGACACCATTCCGCAAAGGCAGGCTGTTGCAAACGACTTCGATGCACCGCACGTCGTTAATTATGACGTCGATGTTCATGTCCGCGACCCGGACATTGCGAGCGACACGGGCATCCGTAAGGCCCAGAAGAGTGGCAAGGTAACATCCAACAGTGGCATCGTGTCCTTCGGCCAAACGGGAGGTCGCCGCCAGCTGCGAGACACTCAGGAGGCAGCTGGTTCGAAGGCACGCCGAATACCGGAGAATGAACCAAGCGGCCTGCAAGTCATCAATCGCAGATGCGGTTGAGAAGGCGGTCATCGGCACTCTTGAGTACAAGGTGTGTTTGGACATGTTTGGACAAAAGCGTCGGAGAGGAGCGGAGTGCCGAACACGACGAGACCTTGCCGGTCCGGTGGCAAGAACAAAAAGAAAGGACCAACAGCCCAGATGATCGCTTCGGAACGGGCGATCCCCGTCGGATCCTCGCTGGTAGCGTTCCGCGCTCGCGTATGGCTGCAGTTGAGCTCAATGCGCGCAATCCGCGAAGCGGTGCGGAAGGCTTCGTAGAGTGCGTGGACCCTCGGGCGGTGCGACCACGCAAGTTTCTTCCAGGAAGCTGAAAGCAGATTTGATGGGAGGCCTGCTGGTGTCCCGAGTGGTCGCGAACTGGAACATCCGCCGTCACGGCATACGGTCCTGCACTTTGTGCCGGGGCTGTTCAATTCATGTCATGGCAAAATTTCTCGCGCCTCCCGCTCAGGCTGCAACCACGAATGGCGCAAGGCAATCCATGTGTTGGAGGTTCGGTTGCGGGTGCACTATACTAGGTTTCTGTGCGACATATGCGGCTGCAGGACCTCCGCTCTAACGCCCTGCAAGTGAATGCAGCCCCGTTCAATGCTGCGATACGGGCATTGTCTGCTGAATCCGGAGCAAGGCTTCGTGTTGTTGGAGAGTATCAATGTGTGGAAACTAAATGTTGTGGATCTTTGATTTTTTTTGCGTGGCACAGGCGCCGGACCAGGGAGCGATGGCAGATGGCATTGATTACGGCAGAGGATCGTTGTTAATGAGTTAACAGCACAGGGCCAGGGTTCGTCATGCAGGAGCTCATGCTCTTCGGTCCGGAGCCGGACTCTATCACGCTGAACACAGCGGCCGCATGTCGTCACAAATGTTGGTTGATTTCCCTTTCTCCCATTTTCGGCTTCGTTTTCTCTGTGAGGACACTTCTGCGACACTGAGGGGTTCCGCTTCGTTTCCAGAATTCCATGTACTGTACGGCATAGTCAAGTCGGCGCAAGATAGGTGCGAAGTTCGGTGTGGCGGCAGCCAATCTTCGGATTTCTTAAGCTCGGGAATTCATTTTTTCCTGTGGAGCTTTCTGGTTTCGCATTCTCATCTGCACAGCCACACTGAGTGGCAACATGGTTCATCGGCTTGTAAGCTACAGCACATAAGTTGGGCGTGCCATGCCTTGAAAATGAATGGCATACTGCAGCAAGTGCAGCAGTGAGGAAACAAGTGAGACTCACCCCTCGCCTTCCAGCCAGTGTCGTTGTTGATTTTGTCTGCTTTTGCCGTTGAAACCCAGATGATCACCAGAAGCTCCGGGATGCGCAACAACCTCTTTTTACAAGTAAAACCGAATGGAAAGTTCCATTCATCTTCCATGGTTTGGTCGGCCGGTTTCCGATGCAGGGAATGTAGGAGAAGCATCCAAAGAACCAGAGAGCATTGACGTAAGCCGACTCTGAGGTGAGTACCTGTGCATCCGCAAGCGCCTGGCAAGCAGCAGTTTCCAGCATCAAAGCCGGGCCGCACAACTTTATGAATTTCGCGAAAGTTTTGCTTACAGCTGATGCATTAAGAAACTCCTGATATCTGAGGTCGCGCAGCGCTGGTTGGACGTTATGCCAGACTCCATAAGCCGGAGCCTGGCATTCTTTAGACGCCATTTTGCGTCATGCAAGTGAGTCTCAGCCGAAGGTTTAAATACTGCGATGTCTGCATGCCCCGACCCCAGCCGCATCATGTTGCACGTTCTGGGAAGGCAGTCCAATATTCAGAGACTCGTCGCACATGGTGGCGCCGAAGCCATTATTCAGAAGAGAGCATTGTTGAACGCGAGGTTTGTGTGTGCCATGCGAAATTCCGTACAACGGGAGTTGTGTGCAGCCATTCTTCATGTAAGGCCGTCCGGCACTTTTGGAAGACGGGTGGGAAGGGAGCAGTCATGCCAGATCTTTGCCTGCACGCCCTCATAGACTATTAGTGCCTGTGACATCCGTAGAGGCCGTGCATTGGTTGATCCTGAGGATGTCCCCGCTGTTGCACCTTGTTTTTCAACTCGTCTGCAGTTGCCACAATACGAGCAGCTGCATACCGCACAGCAAACCAGGCCTTCTACTTCACAAACTCTTGCGGCTTGCGTTTGACTTAAATCTGAGATCACGCACACACACACACACAAGCTCTGGGATGTTCGAGCTTGAAGGATTGAAAAGTGTGTCTGTGTGTGATGCGCGGACAGAATGTTCTTCCACCTTGTTTAACATTTTCATGCCGGTTGTAGCTACCGCTTACAAAGCAATGCAGGCCCAGGGGCTTTGCCTTGCATACTTCTGCAGAGTTTAGTTCGCCCGACTGCTACTGCTACTTATGCCCCGTAGCACTGTGCCCAAGGCGAGCGTGCGCAGGAGTGGGAGCACAGTCTTGTGCAATGCTCAGTTTTTGCCAATACCTACCGCCATGATCTCGCAAGGCAGAGTTTTGTGGTCGTGTATCTGCCACCCAAGGCGTTGTTTTACTGCGAGATGCCGCGGTTGCGCATCGAGCCAACGTTGGTGTCGTTCAACGCTGCAATCAGCACTTGTGCTGCTGCCGGCCTGTGGCAGGCCGCGGTGTTGCTTGTAGCCCACGTTTAGCAATCCGGAAGCTCATGTTTCGACAAAGAGACAACCAGGCGGACAGAGACACGGGCAGACAGTCAGACAGACCGAGACACAGACACAGACACATGCGGACACGGACAGACGGACAAACAGGCATACGATAATGGTGTTGCATACATACTCGCATGCCCATGTGCTTGTGCGCATGCCATACACTACGTACGCGAAAGTTTGCGGATGCGCCCTGCATGCATATGCACCCACGAGTTATTACGAGTTCATATGCTTATGTAATATGAACTCGCATACTTCTTAAACCGCGTCGTGGAGGAAGGCCTTCAGCCAGTTCTGGCTCCAGCTGTTGAGTGGACACTTTGCAGCGGTAACACCCCGCGCGTGTAATCCATGTAAGTCGCTGTGAAAGCTGTAGGTGCTTTTGAGAGTAAGGGGTTTGGGGTTTGGTCAGGTGATAGGCTTCCAGACCGATTATGGTAAATTACAAGCTGCCGTAGCTGCTTCGAGTTACAAGCATGAACAACTGATATGCCTTGCGATTTTGATACAGATTGCCCCGATGGAAGCATCGGTTGCATTCTTTTCTACAATGGGTGCAGCTTGCCGGCACGAGGTCGCTACGGTGTCCTGAGCACTATCGTTTGGGAGCTCTGCAGAGCCCAGGCGAGAAAGACGTGGTAATCAACTACGCGCTGATCCTAGCACAGGTGGGCCACGGAATCGAACCTCTAACCTGTAGCCTGATTGCTGAGAAACGAGGCACCTGCTTTTTACAAATGCGCCGGTGTCTACAGTCTGGTGATCTTTGTCTTCTACGCAGCTTTCCAGGCGGCCGGGACGTTCTGGGGAAAAATGGGTTTAAAACTCTCTTGGCGTCCAGCTGTCTGTTCATGCAGATTCATGCATGCTTGTGCAGGCACTTGTGACTTCATGTCAGGTGCTTCTATGCGTGTTGGTTCACTGCTCCGGGGCGCTTCAGACGCGTTGGGATTGCAACAAGTTAGGCGCCTATTTCCTGGCATGCGGCCGAGGTTTCAGTAGTGTGGTGCGCAATGCTCGGGTACTGCCTCAGAGTGGTGCTTAGAAAGGCCGGGCGATATCACGGCATGACTGTCTCCATCATGACCCGACATGTCGGAGAACATCGAAGAACGCACCATGTTGCACCCTGCGCACCCTGCAACTCACAACATGCAGTTGCTCTGTGATCCTGATCTGCCGCTGTCAGCATGGCATGAAGTGCGTGCAACCACATTCAAGGGCCTACCTCTGTATGTGCTTCATTCTCTCAAGGTTGATGTTCTGGCGGCTGGTGGGTTTGAGACTGAAACTTGAGAATTAAGGAGAGCCTTGAAGTATTTATTTGCGCCAGTGGTCACAGAACACTCACATGAAACGCCTTGCATGGAGGCGAAGCATACTTCAGTGGCATGCCATGGTAACTCTCATGCAGAGTAGTTCTGGTCGCCCGAAGAAGGAGCAGGGCAAGCGCAGCAAACCTGGAGCGGATGTTCGGGGTCCAACCAAGCGGCCTGCAAAGCCAGGCAAGGGCCCCAAAGCAACCCCGAAGAAGCGTCCTGCAGCTGCGAAGAAGCGCCCAGCAAAATCGGCCCCGCCGAAGCGCAAAGTGATGCCGGGGAAGCCAAATAAGCAAGCAAAGCCGCAGAAGCCAATGAAGCGAGCCAGTAAGGAAAAAGCTTTGCCACGAACGCTTGCGAGCGCATTCTCTGCAGTCCTGAAGAGTGTTGACTTGAAGCATCCATATCGAAAAATCCTTTACATCATGCGTGGACCGCCTGCATGCGGGAAGAGCACTGTGGCACGGAAGCTGCTTGCCAAGCATCTGAGTACGCAGGGCGTTAAATGGAACCCAGCTGCGTCGATGGCCGCTTTCTCGCCTGTTTGTCGAGCATTTGTGTGCTCCACCGATGATTGGTTCACGCAAGTGGACGAATCCGGAGGAACGGACTACAAGTGGGACCCACGTCGCCTTGGAGAGCTGCACCAGAAGAACCAGAGTCGTTGCGAAGAGAGCATGATGCTCAGCCGCACGCCGTTGTTCGTGGACAACACCAACATGGCTCTGTGGGAGATGGCGGTCTATGCCCAATTAGCTGCAAAACACGCCTACACTGTCATGATTATCGGGCCAGAACAGCTTGGACAGGGTGCGCTTGACGTTGCCACGCTTCTGCGACGTTGCCGGAAAGGTGCCGGCAGAGCCCAGGGGAAGGAGATACCGGAATCAACGTTGGAGCGCATGATCGGCAATTATCAGAAGCTCCCGGATGGTATGCAGGGGCGGTATTGGGCCCCTGATGCAGCGGAGCTGGAAGTGGTCAGGGATGCGAAGCGGCCGCCACCGCCACCGAGATTCCGCTATGCAGGCTTAGATGTTGAGGACAAACTCTTGGAGGCCTTGTCCGAGATGGAGCTTCCACAGCAGTTTTGGGAAGGCTCAGGAGCAGAGATTCCTGTAGAAGGCCAGCGGCACTTGCTTGCTGCCCGTGGGATGAGCTGCTGGCAGAAGCCGGACCGCCTGCACATTACAGTTAGCTACTTCGGGAAAGACGCGGCTGGCAAGGAGGCGGCAGAGAAGCTAGTTGGCAAGCACTTTGCTGTGAAGGTCACAAGTGTTGTTTTCATCTGTGGTGGAGGCCTTCTCTGTGCAACTTGTGAGTTCCAGGCAGAAGACCATGCAGTACTTGCCGAACTGGCAGGCGACGGTTGGCGCCCACACATCACTCTACTCCACGGTGGAAACTGGCGGGCCAAGAACTCCAAAGATGTTATAGAAGCAGTCGAAGCGGCCTTGAAACGTGCGACCGCCACCGCTGTCACTGCACCAGATGCCAGCAGAGCTGAAGCAGACGAGACTGACGAGACACAGCTAGATGATGCAACTCAGACTGACAACGACGGACAGGCACCGTCAAATGTCCTGTGGAAGCAAGGCAGCTCAAAAGAAGTCACAACAGGCGCGGTGCCCGAAAAGCAGGCCGATGCAGAGCTGGATAGCAGCTCTGCTGCCTTGGACGTGCTGCGCGGCGTTGAGGTATGTGAGCAGTCGGTGGATCTGGGTATGGCCAAGTTCCCACCCATCGACCTTGGACGATGTGAGTTTCGCTTGTTCCAGTATTAGCAGCGGCTCCTAAAAAGGTTCTGCAGCGCTGCGCATCGTTGGAGCACGTGGCTCCCTCTCCCTCTCTCCTCGCTCTCGCTCTCTCGTTCGCGCTCTGTCTGCTCTACAGCTTTTCCGCAGGACACCCCGGACAAGGATGTTCAGATGATTTGGGCCGTGGCCATATCGGCCTTGCTGGACGTGATTGCGCTCGTCTATTATGCCTTCACCTTAAGCCTTCGGCGTCTGGGGATCGTGCTGGGCCACGTAGTCTTGCACTCAAGGCCGTGTCCGCTCCGTGGTTGACCACGTTGGCGCACGCGTGTGCCCTCGGTATGGGCTCCTGGCTGAGATCCAACGCAAGTGCCAACCTGGTGTTTCCAATGCAGTTTGAGCTACACTAGCCAAGCTGCAGTGTCAGTGTTGATTGGCTGTCCTTCGACTAATGCAGTGCAAAATGATCTAGGGCTAGTCGTTCCATGCGCTTTTGTAGCCAAGAAGCAGGGGACCATGAAAATCATGGCAGGGTAGGGCTAACTTCATAGAAGCATGGGCGGTCTCAATGTCAACCTCCGATCGAACACGACGGCCAGTCGGACCGAGGTGCTTTGACGTCCTTCCTCCGACCCAGACCAACGTCTGCCCGGGCATCGGCATTGCTTTGGCCAGCTTCGTCTGAGCACACCACTGGCCATCTAGAGCGAGGTTGAGACTGAATCCCTGTTGTGCGGGCTAGAGCTGGACTTCATCCATGTAAACATGGACTTCTTGGCAGAGCCGCGACCGGGAAGATGTTGGCCTAAGCTGCAGCAGGCGATCCTGTGGGACATGCACGGCTGTCGCCACAACAGCCTCGACCAGGTTACTTTGATGGCCTAGTGCAGGGCCATTCTGGCTGAAAAGTGAGTGACTGTGCTGCTGCAGCTGGAATCGGCCAAGACTCGTAGATGTTCTGTGAGTCCGGCAAGGCTCGAAATGCTGCGTGAAAAGAGCATCACAAGCTTGACGAGGATAATGCTCCTACAAGTGGGAGGGTTAGGTCTATGTGGTTCCTCTATGGAAGCAAAACTAGCAAGGGATACGGATAGCAACAGCACGCGAAGCCACGTGAAAAGCTGAGCCGCTCTGCGGGATCCCAAGCCCATCCGGCGCTGGCCGAACTTGGCCGTGCTGCGTATGCTGGACGCTGAGCTAGGCGCAGATGGCAGACGGGCAGCTCTACCGCGGCGTGCTGCGGAGCTTTTCGATCAAGGACGGCTACGGCTTCGTCCGTTGCCAGGAGCTGCTTGAGACGTTTGGCCGTGCCTTGGTCAAGAAGATCGCCGCAGCAGTGTGCCGGAGTCTGTGCCAGATAACGTGTGCCATACAGTGAGTTGCAGATCGCAGAAACGTACCAAGGGGATGTGTATGTACCGGTGTCGTTGCTTCCTGCTGGCATTTGCTGTGGTGCCCGTGTCATCTTTACGCTTGTTCCGGCCTCAGTGTCATGCGCTGCGGGCCGCAACATGTCGCTGCGCCAACGAAAGCTTTTCGTGGCTTTTCCTGCCGCTGTAAAGGAGGACCCTTTTGATTTTTTGCGTGTGTGTTTTTGGTCGCTTTTGGCCGCGTCCTTGGTAGTAATAATGAGTGTAATAGTAGTAGTAGTAGTAGTAGTAGTAGTAGTAGTAGTAGTAGCAGTAGCAGTAGTAGTAGTAGTAGTAGTAGTAGTAGTAGTAGTAGTGTAGTAGCAGTAGTAGTATCAGTATTGGTATTGGTATTATCGCTACGCGAAAAAGGCGCTGGCCACAGGAGCAGAAAAGTAGTGGCCGCAGAAATTCTCCACCCGTTGTAAAGCCCCCCAGCTTTGAGGCCTTCAATGAGCGGGGACAGCCGCGATGCGAGCAGCTCCTCGAGGAGGAAACGAACCTCAGACGGGTTTAGTAAGCAGAGAAGACCAGATTTCTTTTTTGTTGTGCGCCAGGACACATCGAACATCGATGCGTTGTCTGCTCTCGACCTGTTACCCCTGGACCTGAACTTGGAGCCGTGTTGCAAGGCCAGCTCGATGCCGGAACTCCTTCACTTTTGCTGTGCGTTGAAATGCAAGCACTGTAGGCTCTCTTGTAACGCTGACTGAGGCCACTGTTGAGTCGCTTGGAGCCTGCTGTGCACGAGTTGTTTCTTGGAATCTCCTTGCGCCTTCTTATTGCTCGGGAGCCTTTTTCAAGGAGAGAATCGAGAGTTTTGTGCTTCCCGCCGTTTGCCCTGGTACATACTCCGAGCAGCAGGACGTGGACCCGGAAGCTTTACGCTGGCCACGTCGGGCTACACAAATAAAGAAAGTCCTCCATTGCCTGGCCCCAACAATCGTCTGCCTCCAAGAGGCCCTTTGCTGCATTGTGCTTGGGTAGTGGATGTCCCACATCATTTGTCTGGATCGTCTGCAGGTGGAGCTTGACCGTCCATTGGAGGATTTGGGATTGCGGCTTGGATCAACTTAGGCTCGCTACCAATCCAGGTGCTGTAGTCCAATCGAGCCAAGGTCAGACTATGCTGTTGCGCCGGCCGTCTGCAAAGAAGCATGACCACTTCCAGTGCGCACCTGTTTTCTGATGACGGAAAACACGTATTGCTGTGCTGCTGCTAGATGTCAGTCTGTCAGAACGGGTCTGGGGTCGAGACCAAGATGAAGAGGCCGTCTGCACAAGCTTTATGGAAGACCAGGCCTACGGATTCAGCATCGCACCACAACAGAACCCCCTTAGCTACCAGCCAGTGTAGTTTCACATGGAGCGACATACATGGATAGCTTCACTCAGGACACTGAGAATTGGTAATACGCCACATCTCCAAACATGCAGTGGTGGAACAGGGGTATTTGCCTCGGCGGGTACTGTGGTGAACCGGTGCTGCCAAAGTCAGCTCTCTCCCTTGAAACGCAGACCGCCAGAACCATCAAGAGTCGTGAAAAGAGCGTGCACACACTCTTCAGGTTTGTGCAGCGTCCCAAGCGGCCCAATGGCTTGGACCGTAAAGACGGCTGCCTTATCGCATGGCAGCGTGAAGCTTTCAGGCTGATCAGGCAGAGCCCTGAGTGCCTGTGTCAGCCCGCAGAGTTGTAAGATGCAAGCATTGAAGTGAGTCGTGACACATGGTGAGGCAGCAGCCGCTGTACTACGATGATTTTCCGCCACCGCATGCTTGTCAGCAGGATGAGGGCAATCCAAGCGGGCATGCCGGCGGCCTAAGCTGCGCAGATCTTTAGCCATACCATCACAGGAGCACCTGGATGACCTTCAGGTTGCCTTGCTGGTGGAGCTGCAGCCTACTGATGCGCCTGAGGGCTGGACAGCACCCAAGCAACACGGGAAGTGCCATTGTAGACGTCTTGGACGCACACTGTGATCGGCGGATGGACTTGTAGCCTAGGTGCTCGTTGCCACCACGCATTTGGCGTGGAACGATACGAGGGAGGATTTACGAACGCACCAGGCGGAGAGGGTCGGGTCGGGCTTTGGAGCCCTGCCAGGCGTGTGACTGCTAGTCTGCTCCCAGGCATTCGTACTCCTGCAAGCCGTTCTGAGCTACCAGAATGACTACACAATCATGTGCACCCCGGGCTGCAGTCATCCTTCGTTGTGTGGGCGGCTAGCTCGCAGCTGCTGAGCTCTTCGTCTTCCGCCTCCTTTCGTAGGTCGCATGCTTTGGAAGCAGAAAGGTCGCATGGCGTTTCCCTTCTGTACAGGCGGTGATTTCAACATGACGCCGCAGAGCCCGACACATGGTCTCGTGAGCCAGTACTTCCGCTCCGCTTACCAGGCGTACCGGTCCGGAAGCTTTCTCAAAGGATCCGCGAACATTTTGTTTTGATTCTCTTGTGTGCAGGACTTGGAAAAGCAATGCGGTGAGTCAGGCGTTGTCACAACGACCAATGCACTGGCCCGCAGTGGCCAGGGCTTTGCAGAGAGTCTTGGTTGGCAGATGCTGGCTTGGTTCCGCTTTGTTCTGCATTTTACCTTTTACCGCAACCGGGTTTTCGGCTTCACATTGCCGCTATCGACAGGATCATTGACTACTGCTGGCTTCGTTCCCCGGAAGGCGGAACTCACTCCTGCATGCATGAACATGCAGAAGGGTGTTACGAGCTCCGCACTGGCTCTGCTGAATGCCTTTGAGTCTAAGTCTATGTTTATATTGCTAAAACCCCAACAGGCTCGGCATCAATTGCCCATGCCAGCAGAGGTTGTAGAGTCGAAACACTCGCATCTGGAGTCTGCAGGCGCAGCCTACTGGGATCCTTGGAAACAGCCCAGCCAGCTGGGACCCTGGGCATGTCGCCGGCTTCGCCTGCCCTGCCGTGCCTGGCTTCGGTCCTTCTATGGCGCTGCGCCCCAAGCACCGCTTCCCACGCTGCTTGCTTCAGGCCGCTGGCCCTCAGCACCCTGACGAAGAAGCACATGTCTGAGGTCTTGCCAAGTTCCTTGAGGAACTTCCGTTGTGTTTTTTTCTCCTTGCCCTTGCCGTTTACCGCACCAGCCGAGGATCACTTTCCCATCGCAGTGGACGTAGTGTTCTGGACAGAGCCGGGCGATGCGGGTACGTGAGTTGAAAAGGAGTACTGTACCGGTAGATGGCGGTAGATTGATTGGAGTGGTGTTGTTCTCTCTGCAATCCTTCGACCGTCCGGATATGCATCTTCTGCGAAAGCCTTGGTAGCCTGAGAGACGGTCATGCTGCACACAGAATGCTGAGCATCTGCCAGACAGCATGTGCGCGACACATTGGACTTAAGGCGCATAGTCTCAGAGTGAGGGCATGTATCAGCTGCGTCTTCCCTTGGGAGCAGCAAGACGAAGTGCAGACCCCTTGCCAAAGAACCACAAGTGGAGCCGCATTAATGGTGCACGTCTGCGGAAGTGAATGATGTTCTGCCGGGGCAAGCGACTGACCCTCCCGCTGCCGTTCACATCGCGCTCCTGTACCTCGTGCGCTGAGGCGCCGAAGGCAAAGCAATAATGCTCTGATAACCACTTCTCTGTGATTGTGAATGCCATTCATTGACATACCATGACTCTAGCTGCATGTACTTAATGAAGTGCCACAGGCTACACCCTTTGACCTCGACGTCGAGCATGGGTTCCACAAGATCAATTTGTCATACCCTGGTCTACAGCTCGTGAGGCCCGGGCCCGCTGCTATGGCTATGACTATGATGTTGTGTAGTGGGTGTGACCTCACTGGAAGGAGATGTCCTCACATATTCTTGGTGCAGAACTTCTTCAGTTCCACCGAGTGCCAGCGACTTCTTCATAAGGCTGCTTACGAGCCAGACAGCATGAAGCCCGCAGGTGGGGATCCTCTCGAAATCAGCAGCTGAATGGATAGTTTGAGAATTTGAGGTTCGGACTCTGCTGAAGTGTTGGTGCCAGCACCTGTCCTCGCAGGTGTCTTCACCCGGGACGGCCACAACCGATTGCCGGTTCGCACAAGCTCTCAATGCATATGTCCTCAGGCTGAGGTGCCAGCTCTCATCCGGAAGATCGTCGTGTCCCGACGGGTAATTATGCCAGCGCAGACCCCGCACAGTTTCTATGACAGCCACGCCACACTGTGGCGGGAGCACGATTGGCACCCCAAAAGTGCCTTGCAACTGTGATGGGAACACGATTCAGGTGCAAACACCTGTCGCAGTGAGCACGATTTCAGAAGGCGGACAGACGGGACAGTGGCGGGAAGTGCGAGGCACTGTGGCGGAAGCTTTTTGGGGAACAGGAGAACCGTGCATGATTCAATAGTCGCTGTGATGGCTCCGGTTTCGCTCTTGTTGCATGGACGGGCTTTCGCGATATGCATTGCGAAAATGACCTCAAGGCCCTCCTGGACTGTACTCGGCGACAGCTAGAGGCTTGTCAGATCATCCGCTACCAGGACCTGCTGATGCGTTTCTCAGCATTAAATGCTGCAGCATGCTTGCCACGAGGAGGGTGAGTTCTTTAAGCTACACGGCGACTACAGCACAAGCGGAACGAGATCCAGCGCGGGTTTCGTCAACAGCTCTCGCTTGGCCACTCTCTTCGTTTACTTGAACGACATTCAACAAGGCCGAATCTCAAAGTTGACAGACTTTGTTTGACTAGCAACCCCTGGCTTCCCGCAGTCTCCCAGCATGGATTTACTGATGGCTACGCTGGGTATGCTTTGTCTTGTCTGCAGCTTCCGACTTCCAGCATCCCAGGAGGCGAAACGGAGTTTCCGAATGCTGCGCCACCATTGAAGATTTCACCGAAGCAAGGCCTGACAAGTCCACGGCGACGATGCACAGCTGTTGGCCTCAGTTGACCTGAGGCTTGGCCGTGCTGCACTTCCCCGCGCGGCTCGACCGGTGTTCTGACGCGCGGCGCACACGGCTGCTTGGTCATGAGCATTGACCTTGCCAGAGCTCCCATACAACGGTACGACAGAATTCCGGACTAATTCATTTGTCACAGAGTTGGGGTTCACTCAGAGTTTGAGGTCACATAGGAAGCTGCTTCGTTCGTGAGAACTGTCCTGTGAGCGTTGTCCTGAGTCATGGGACGGGGCAAGAACTGCGATGCCTGCAACATGAGTGGGCTCCCGGACGAGCCAAGCCGGCACTATGAATCTCCCGCCAATCAACAAATTCAACAAACGTCTCCATTCGGTCCTCGTTCTGCATGGCTTCTCTCGATGAAATGGCTCGGATGACAAATGTGCAGGATGAGAAACACTGTGTTTATTCTGACATTCGGCGCAAGGCACCAGAGCCTGCCCGCCATTGATGAGAAGTGGATTTTCGCCACCTGGCTTTGGAGTGAAGAACGCTCCAGTGACGCGAAAACTCTGCATGAAATTGGTCGAGGTTGCTTGGCTTCAATGTGCAAGCATCTCTGTCAGTTGACAGCTTCTACATGTCGTGGGGTACAAGCTGGGAGATGTCCGAGCAAAGGCTATACTCATGTGTGGCCAGAGTCCTACGACACCCTGAGCCCGGACGTGATTTAAGACTCGCGAGTCAGCAGTGGAAAAAGCCGGCAGCGTTCTGTTTGCCATGGCTACCAGCAGCCGGCTTTTGCAGTTGCCAATACTGAGCGCATGGGGCAGCTTTGACCTGCAGGCGGCATTGCATCTTCTGGAATCAATGTCCGGCTGCCGGCTGCGCCCAGACGTTGTGAGTGCGGCGCTCGTACATAACCATGCAGCTTCGAGTCGACGATCGCCATGAGTATGAACACTGCATTTTCGGATCGGAGATCGTGGGTGCTTTCGCTGTTCAGTAAAACCACCTCGACCAAAGCAAGGTTGCAACTCGGTGCTTACATCCTGCGGCCGCGGCTTCGAGTGGCGACGAGCCGTGCAGTTGCTGCGGACGATGCAGACTTTAGAAGAACCCAGGTGCAGCAGCTGCATTGCTTCACATGGCGAGAAGCCCCACTTGGCTTTCGGTGCTGGTAGGCCGGACCTGGTCTCCTTTAACACGGCCCTGGCAGCTGTTGCCAACAGCCAGGGTCTCAGAGTCTGAGGAAGCAGGGTGATAGGACGACCTGGGGCTGTGCTTGTCCAAACATGCTCGTTGGCTCTTTGCAGCTGTGGCCCAGAGCCTTCCGACCTCAGTGCCCCATGGAGTCCTTTGGCCTGTCTGGCCCCCTGAAAGCCACTTTCTGGGAGCTCCACCGACAGCTCGGCGAATGCCACCCGACAAAATTTCAGGCTGGAATTTGCATTGAGCTTGCGGGAATCCCTTCTTTTCAGGCTACGCTTCCGATCTTGCGATCGCAGAGGGCCGACAACCCGACAAAAAGCCGTCTGAAGCGGGCACGGCTCTCCAGACTCTCCAGTTCAAATTCGGGGAGCACTTGCAGACTCCAGTGGTCAATGAGAGGCACAGCTTATGTTCAACATGCACTGTTTGTGGCATTCGAAGTTGCCCGAAGTTTAGGAACAATTAGCCAATGTGGTCCGTATGAGTCGAAGGAGACCTCCGCAGCCAGTCCGCATCTGCTTTGGTCCCAAAATTTTACTTGAGATCTGAACTGGAGGCGGCTGAGCACCAACTCCATCATCTCGGTTGACCCGCATGCAGCGCGCAGCGAACGGCACATTGCTCTGGATCCGACCCGCAGTGAAAAGTTGAGCGCGAAAGACCGTATCGAGATTGTGAGGGGCAGGAGCTGCCCACTACGCGTAAAGCTGCCCCGCAATGTGCACTAGCATGTACCAGCATGGTTCCCGCAGCTTGTCAGCATGGTGCGGTAAGCTTTGCGGTCGTCCATGTTCCCACGCTCCCGCAGGAGAAAACAGACGATGAAAACACTTGGCAAAGTACAGGGTGCCGATGTATCAGACGATGGCAGCAACGCGCACATCAACCTGAAGCCGCATGAATGTGCTTTGCCGGCAAATCCTCGTAATTGTTCATCCCCCGCTGACGTCGTGGCTTAAAACGCTCAGGTTGGAATGCGAACAAACTTCAGAAGAAGCCAGGAGGCAATCGGCGATTGTCTCAAGACTGCGGCGCCACTCGGGACATGCTTCCTTTGACGACGCTCGTCTTAGAGGAAGTGAGCCAGAAGTCGTGCAATCTGGGCATGACGATGACTGCGCCACTGTGCCGTATAAGGACCCAGCCCACAAAGGAGAGCTTGAAAGCTGACGGACCGAGGACTGACTTGTAGACCGTAGAGCAACACCGACAGCGTCTGCACAGCTTCGCACAGAGGATATTCAAGGCTGGCACCGTGCACTGCACGATCTGGCAGAGACTTTCGTGACTTGCAGGAAGTACATGTTTCACCCCGCGGGGTCATTCAGAACCATTTGGAATATGATGACTGCCATCACCGTGCTGTACGACCTTATTGTCATTCCGCTGTATGCGTTTGACCTGCCGCAGACCGGTGCTCTTACAGTTTTCGGGTGGACAATCATGATTTTCTGGAACGTGGACCTGATCATATCCTTTCGGACCGGATTTTACGATGAGGGCGCATTGGTGATGACCCCCCTCAGAGTTGCATGGCACTACTGCAGGACACTCAAGGAGAGAATGTTTCAAAACACAGACCTCGCAAAATAAAAGAGCTGACTCTCCAGGACCTGGCTCCTCTTCGACCTCGCGCTGATCTCTTTAGATTGGGTCCTTGCATTCATGGATATGTCGGATAGCGGAGAAGGGCAGGCGCCATGGTCGCGCACGCTGCGCATGCTGCGGTTTCTCAGGCTGATAAGGATGCTGCGATGGATCAAGTTGAGACAGGCAAACGAAGCTCTGCAAGATCTTCTTCATTCTCAGGCCTCGCAGAGTGTGATTGCCTTTTAAGTTCGGCCCTTGCAATGTCTGCTGGCTGTAGCAAATCTTTCTAGGCTGTGACCTCAGAATGTCATTGAAAGGCGCACGAGCATGCACGCGATTTTGAAACCACGCTTGCGTTACAAGGTCTCCGCGACTCAGAGCTTGTACACTGGTGTTGAAATCTCGTCCGCCTGGTTCGCTCTGCCAAGTATTCTCCAAAACTTGCAGACAGAGCCCACAGTCGCAAGTGACCATCCGTGACTGAGCAGCAGGAGGATCAGCAGCAGCAGCAGTACTACTGCGGCCACATTCCAGAAACGGGTTGCAGACAGCTATGGCATGTCTCTACCAGAGGCAGACTGTGATGCAAGAGTCTCCACACAAATGTAAACAGTGCAGGGACAATGGGGGTACGGTCCCTGCGAGAGCACGCACGGAGGTGCCATCAGAGGCACTGTCAGACGTGCCATCAAACGGCTTGTTTTCTCGATTCGTTGCTGTGAGTGCACAGAGTAGCTTGAACTCGATGGACCTCGATCGTCTGTGGCTCTTGAAAACCTTGCTCTTTTGCTGTTGCGGCTCGGCTCCTAACACAAGCTGTGCGACAGTCTCGAAGGTTTCTGGGTTTGGTTCGCAAAGCTTGGCAGCTGCCTGCAGGTCATGAGCTTGTACTATGGCCTGGCAAGCAGCATCGCACATCTTATGGTGCTGAACCATTTGATCGCTTGTGCCTGGTTTGGCGTGCATCACCTCAGCTCGGATAATTGGGTGGCTGCCAGCAACATGGAAGACAGCGAAATCATTCATCAGTACCTGGTCTGCTTGAACTGGGCATTTGCACAACTTGGAGTTGGTTCCAGCAATGCCAAGCCCATCAATAGCCTGGAATTTGCGTTCTGCATTCTTATTGCATTCCGTTCGCTCATCACCAGTTCCACGTTGATCAGCACAGTGAGCAACCTGATGGCCGGTTTGAGCAAGATCAAGGAGGACGAAACCAACGAGTTCCGATTGCTGCGGGCGTACTTAGCTGCGAATGACATCCAGCAGCAGCTCACACAAAAAGTTACGCAATTCCTCCAGTTTCAGTATGCGTTGAGGCAGGAAGCGAGGCGAGGACCGGAAAGAAAACACTTGTAATCCATTTCACGGTCCAGAACATGAACCGGACTCACCCAATCCCTCCAGGTCCGCTGACATGCAAGTTCCGCTGCTTGAGCTTCTGTCGCAGCAGCTGCAGGGTGAGCTCCAATTTGCACGATTCCAAAAGGCTCTGTGCAAGCTGCGTTTTATTGAGGACTTGATCGACGACCCTGATTTACAAACGATGCAGGTTCTTCACCGCTTGGCTATGACTGCCCTAAGCAATACTATCGTGGCAGCAAAAGATGTTATCTTTTTGTGTGGCAGTCAGGCGGTGGCAGCCTGTCTGAAGCTGAGTGGATCTCTGACTTATTTTCATGAGGATGGGACGAAGACCATCGATTCATCTACTTGGGTGGCGGAGGTTTGCTTGTGGACACCATGGATTTTCATGGGTGACCTCGTCGCGGATGATGTCACCCGCATGGCCTTGCTGGACGCCCAAAGTTTTGGCGAAATCCTGTCGCAGAATTGGCAAACCCACCATGCTGCACACCGCTACGCCAAGGACTTCTTGGCGCCTTGTCAGCAGTTAAGACATGCTGGCTGCGAGCCTTTTGTGGTGATCCTATCATATCGGCGTAGCGTACGGAACAGAACTGTTTTCGGATCCCGAGCCCTGGCATTCTTACTTCTCAAGCACGCAAGAGATCCACTTCCTGAGCTGAGCGAGGAGACGTTGAAGAAGCAGGACAGCTGGCTGGACGTGATGGAACGGGATGACGCCAGCGATGGAAGCTTCGATGATGGGAGCAAGACAACTGCTCCTGTAGCAAAGAAGAAGCACTGTTGCATCTTGACTCGGTTAGCACGCTAAGGAAGCAATCGCAACCTTTGTGCATCTCTTTCGCGAACTGTTGCTTCTGCTGCCACTGCTGCTGCTGCTGCTGCTGCTGCTGCTTCTGTGGTTGCTTGGTGCTGCCGCTGCTGCTGTTGCCACTGTTGGCACTGTTGCTGCTGCGGCTCCTCCTGCTTGTGTTTGCTGGGCTTCTTGTCCTTCTCGTTCTTACTCTTGGTGCTGCTGGTGCCGGTGCCGGTGCCGGTGCTGGTGCTTGTGCCGGTGCTTGTGCTCGTGCTGGTGGTGGTGTCGCTGCAGCTGATGCTGCTGCTGCTGGCGCAGCTCTGCTACTGCTTCTGGTGTCTCTGCTGCTGCAGCAAGACGCTTCGCTGCACAAGGTGCGGCTTTCTTCGGTGGGAGGAAACGGCTGGCCCAGGTAGTCGCAACGGCCCCAGCTGTGTCCACTGACAGTATTCACTGATGTGGGCGCGGGAGCTGCAGCTTCCTGTTTCACCTCGCAGAACATTTTGCGCTTAGCTAGCTGGAGCGCATGACGATTCAGGCTCTGAATTTGGCGGAGCCATTCAGGGCCACTGCAGGCACAGGCGGTTCGAGGAGTGTTGATGGTTCACCATAGGTTCAGGACGTACGCCGCTTACATATCATTCTCATCCACGTGCCGAGCCCAACAAGTGTCTAGTCTAGAGAGCGGAGTCATTCTGACCTACACAGAATTTTCATGACCCCAGACAGCGAAAACATCGGCCTGGCGTGAGTGCAGTGCGAGTCCGAAAGGCTGTGATTGCTCGTGCTTCAATTGCATGGCAATATGCCTGAAATTGCGGCCACTTCGAGCTCGAAATGTAGATTCCGAGCTGTTTTCTCGAGGTGTTGTGAGATGGAGCCACAGAAGGATGTGGTGGCACCACCTCGCCTGCCGACCCCGAGCCCGGAAAGCCCGGACATAAGTTTGGTTGAACCTCCTCGAATGCCGAGCATGGCGAGCTTGGTGCCAAGCCCTCGAAGCTGCACCAGCCCAAGCCCTTCAATGCCCAGACAAAGAAGCAGAGCCAGCTTTTGGGAACTCCACAAGCAGCTCGGAGAGTGCCCCTTGACCGCTCTAGGGCCAAGGCTCTTACTGTAGGAAAGCAACAGGCGCTCGCGGCTGAGGTTACGAGGCGGACATGGCGCTTTTGGAAGACCGCTCGGGGCCGACCTCGCATCTGCAAGCCCCGCAGACCGTGAGGCCTGGACCCCTCAACAGTTCCAGAGACAAGATGCCAATCTTGCAAATCAGGATTTAGCAGTTCTGCAGCAACCGAGGAAGCGCGTCCAGAGCCTGAGCCAGCCACAGGACGGCGAGAAACGAAGTGACAATCCCAGGGGCTCTTTCGCACCAGGAAGGCAGGAGAAGTTTTTCGAAGTTTTTACTCCAGCAGTTCCGTCCTTTGCTGGACAGCGGGAGGCGAGACAAGTCCCTGAAGACGTTGCTGAAGGTGCAGGGTCAGAGCTTGGCCGCCTCAGCCACAGAAGCGATCGAGTTGAAGCCTCACGACTGCTGGACGTCCTCCAATGTCAAGCCGCAAGGGCCGATGGTTCGCCAAAAGCTTTCAGAGGAGCGTGGCGAACGGCAGTACACCAAATCCAGAAGAGAGAGACATGGCCTCACACATTTCTTCAATGTTGCCTGCTAAATCTAAAGTCTTCTGCCATGTTTTGAAGTAGTGTGTAAACAAGGCTGAAAGAGAGACATGTTGATTTTCGCATATATTGCTGAGGATCGAGACCCCGGCAACATTGGAGGAGGCAGCCTCGCCCATCGTAAGGACCAGCAACAATGGCTGCCCATGTTACGTTTTACCCCGCCTGACTAACCCGTGCGTGCGAAACCCTGCCAGGAAGTGTGTGCTACATCCAGGTGGCTCGTGGCGTACGTTTTGGAATGTGCTGGTCGCCCTCTGCATCTTCTATGATTTGCTAGTCATCCCCCTCTACGTCTTCGATATTCCTTCGAACGTATTTCTTGCAGTTGCGGGATGGTACATCCAACTTTTCTGGAATGCAGACTTTGTGATTTCTTTCTTGACCGGCTTTTACGATGAAGGCACGCTTGTCCTAGCTCCTTCCAGAATCGCGTGTCATTATGCGAGAACTTGGATGCTTTTCGATATTAGCCTCATTGCCATGGACTGGTCCTTCGTCGTGATGGACACCATGGATGCAGCAGAAGCTGCGTCGCTGCAGTGGTCGCGCAGCTTACGCATGTTGCGATTCCTGCGCTTGGTGCGCATGCTGCGATGGGTCAAGCTCCGGCGAGTCAACGAAGTCTTCCAAGAATATTTTCATTCGCAGGTGCCGAGACTTGCAACAGGTACAGTAAGACACAGGGTCGGATGGCGGTGTAAGAACGTGTGTAGGTACCTCCTGGAGTCCCGTTATCTGCCCCCCCTTCATTTGTGCTGTCACCTGTCCTGTCATCAGGTGGCGGGCTGTCCTTGAAATGAGAGAGTTGCCCAGCCCCCGCAAGCCAAGCCAGCAGACTCTGGGGGGACTAACCCAGCCACTCAACAACCTTCTGGGAGATAGGGACGGGCCAGCAGATGGTGTCACCAGCTGCAGGACGGAGTCAGCGGCGAGTTCCAGCCTTTGCTCGAGTTTGCTCGGGCGGTGGGAGCGGTGTGAAACGGGCGGCTCCCTCCACCCCCTCATCCTGTTCCCCATCATTACCTGAGGAGGAGGGAATGTTTGCAGGAGTGTTGGTCGGTTTAGAGTTTACATCGCAACATGTACAAGGACGTCACACGAGGTAGCGGCTCCCCTCTCAACCATAGGAAAGAAGGAAGAGAGGGCAGCGTCCTCGAGCCCGCCAGCTCCTGCGGAAGTGGGGCCTCAGTATGAATCAACGAAGGGCCTAAGGCGGGTGCTGCAGTGTGTGAGGGAGTGCAACAGCAGTACACAAGCAGTCAGCGGGTTCGTGGATGCATCCACGAGCGCATCACATGTTCATGAGTCGTTATTGCGTTGGCATGCCCGTGCAGCTTGGAGTTGGCACCCAAGTTGCAAAGAACAAGTGAGAGGGAGTAAGCTGAAGAAGAGAGCCGGATATGCCGGAATTTGGGTAGGAGAGGCTTTGCACCGGGAGGGCAGCGTGAAAGGCCATCGAGCAATTATTTCAGATGTTGGTGGCTTCAATCATGGGAGAATCGGAGATCTTAGCCGATGTTTCGATGAGGCCGCGGCGGTGGAAACAGATGAAGCCCCCAGCGGTAGGGCCGTCGATCGTAATGCCTCTCCGACGCCAGTGGTGGACGACGCCCAGCCCAAAGCGCGTGGCAAAGGAGACAAGCCCCAGCGGCTGCGCCAACGGGGCAGGATAGCGGAGGAGGATGGACACAAGTCACGACCGCACGTTTTTGCGACGGCGTCTGACTGTGCATGGCATTTTCAGGCTTCGTGACAAGGACTGGGATACAAAGCGCACGGAGGACAGAGTGGTGGTTCACCTGGAGGAGGAAAGCCAGCTTGAGGCCACGGAGCACATCCGTGAAGGTGTTGTGGCCAAGCAGTGCAGGGACCCGCATGGTGCCGTTCGTGACCTCAGACAACCAAGTTGTGCTTCGCAGGGTGGAGGAGTGGATCCAAAGTGTGGCTGGCAAGCCAGTACCCAAGCTCAAGCAGGCGGGCGGAACCCAAGGCGAAGCCGAAGGAGGAGACGATGGTGATCACAGTGGTCGTTATTCGGGATTTCGCTGGCCACAAGAGCTTCGTTCCGCAGTGGGAGGTCAAGGAGGAAGGCGAGACGCTGCAGCAACTTCACGTGCGCTTGTTGCAGAAAGAGCCTGCCCACGGCTTGCATGGTGGCGGGCCAACGGCAGCTGGGGGTGCGCTCGCCAGTGACTGAAGGAGTTGAGCACTACTGCCATTGACACTACTCCGAAATTCGTACGACCAGCGTCGACGAACCCGCAACTCGCGAACGACTTGGACACTGAAAGCGTTGGGTCCGAGGCAGTACGACTTTGGTCTGGTACAGGTCACGAGCCTTAAGCTGCCGTGTCGCAAGTACGCGCGACCCGGCCTGTGAGAGTGCTGCGCACGGCGGTGTACGAGCAGCTTCCGGAAAATCTGGGCGCGCGGCAGAAAATGCTGCAGCGCTACTGTACCGGCGACATCAGGCGACTTCTGGGGGAGGAGACGACATCGGAAGGCGAGGCCTGCGTACGGTGCTGGATGCCATAAACCGGGTCCTGCTGCGGTGGCGGCACAGGAAGCAGCTGAGCAGACGGTTGCGGATGAGGCACACGTCTACCAGGGACCAAGGATCAAGCTGATGTGTGAGAAGTGCCTTTGCTTGTCCTCTCACTGGAGAGAGACAAAGTGTGACGGAGTTGCGCGCTGGTCGTCGCACAGGCAGCGGCAATGTGGCCAGGGAGGCGGATGGAGGTAGACGTGGTGGCGGTCCCAAAGACCAACGCCAGCGGCGACGGCTGGAGTTCCGTCCAACACGCAACATGCTGCACCCGGGCAGCCAGACGGCTGCCCAAAACGGCAAAACAAGCCACGTGGAGGCAATGGTCATTTGTTCCAGATGGCCCAGATGGCGGACCGAGGCGATCACTATTGCTGATGGAGTGGTGGAGCCGGGGCGTGGACAGGCCGTCAAAGCCCACAAACCTGCACAGAGACTTTTTCTGAGCGTCAACGTTTATTTGCATTCTGCGCAGCAACAGGCGGCCTCAGACGCAGTGGACAAGATTCTGACGTGGCTCGCGGGTTTAAGCGAGGCAATGCGAGGCAGCGATAATCATTGGAGACTTTTTTTGGCGGCAGGCGCACACGTACAGTGCAAGCGTCATTGATTTTCTTTTGGTTACCCCGGAGTTGTATCCGACTTGCAGACTTCAAGACCTGGGCCCGGCGGACCACGACCACGTGTTAGCAAGGAGTCGTTGCAAGCGGTTTGGAACGTCGAGAAGTAGGCCTTCTATGAGCAGCTGCGCAAGGGCAACCTTTCTGCGGCCTGCATGGGGGCGGCTCAGCGACAAGGCGGAGGACGCGGCGTGGGCGGCAGAGGTGGGCGGAGGAGTGAGGCCCTACGAAAGCACCCACGATACAAGGTCTCCGAGAGTGTGTCAGCTTCGCAAAACTTTGTCGTCGACTGGCGGAGCTGAGGCACCAGAGTGAACAAAAGCGTGCAGGACCTGGGCTTTGCACACGGCCTTTGGACGAGATTGACAGGTGGATCAAGCAGACGTGGGAGGCAGGCCCTGTTGCTAAGGACGTGACTTCCAGTCCTCACCCGGCCTCGCGTCGTTTGGCGGAGGCAGTCGACGCAGGAGGTGCGTACCCGACTACCAGTTCATGGAGGACGCGTGCACAGGCCTTGGGCCGGAAAGAGCACCCTTTTTCGGACGACACTGTGCAGTTGCAAGGCGACGACGTGCGACCAACCTCCTCCCCTTGCCACGGCAGCGCCTCGGCGGCGAAGTCGTTGTCCCTGCCGTTGGTGGCGTGTCCAGACGAAGTAGAATACGCTGCTCCAAACTTGTAGCTGCGTCGGTGATGTGGCTGTGGGGACACTGGAAAGACTCTGGAAGGTGAGGTGATGCTGACTGGGAGCTTGTACACCACACGCGCAAACAAAGTTGGCGCTCTTTTCTGCCAGCATCCTGCCATCGACCGCTGCACCCGCCACGAACCCGGTTGTGGTACCCGTCCCACGTGGTGGCCGCGTGCTGCGTGAAATGCTGAACAAGCTACTTTGTCATGCCGATGTACTCGGTTTTAGTGTCCTTGTTCCACATCCAGTGCCGCCAAGCCTCCTCCGCCGAGTGCTTCACCCAAGACGATGAAGTCCATGCCCGCCGTGAAGAACCAATCAGTCTCCTCCCTCCAGCCACTGCCACACCACGCGTTGCAGCTTGCGACCACCGCTTCGTAGGAGTCGTGTGCCTGTCCTTGGCCTGCGCATGGTACTGGTGCTTGACCGCCTCAAAGTTGAGCACAAACCCTTTTTTCAGCCATAGTGGAAAAGGAAGCCACATGAGGCCGCATTTCCAATGGTGCGGCGGCAGCCCTCCGCTCTGTCTACGAGTACTGCAGCTCCAACGGGGGCTTCGCGCGCTCTCCTTGTGCTCCACAGTGCCCGGTCGTCCAGGTAAAGCGCCACACCCAAGTGAGGAGCAACTTTCCGGACGTACCATGACCCCGTTTAGGAGCGGCGGTGCAAGTGGTTAACCTTCCACCGACGCTGGGCTGCGTAGAAGCAACACGGGACACGGCCTCAGGGACGCCAAGAAAGCACCAAGCTCTGAGAGCTGCAGCCGACGGAGTCGAAACATCTTCTTACATCCGCCGTGACTGCAGGTTCCCAGGAGGCGTGAGCCTCCGCCATGCTTCTAGGGATCCCTCCAGTAAGCTCGTCAGGGGCCCACGTTTGCACCCGACAGCAGAGCTTCTCAGAAGCTTCAAAGGACCTCGTGGGCTGTTGCACTACCTGGAAGAGGAGCAGCTTTCAGGACTGAGGAGGGACTGTGTGCAGGAGTGTCGGTTGGTTTAGGCATGGATCGCAATATGTACACGGGACGTCGCACGAGGCAGCGTTCACTCAGTGTGCCTTCCCGCCCCCGTGAAACCATAGGAAAGAAGGAACAGAGAAAGGTAGAGAGAAAGGGGGTTGGGCGGGCCGAAAACCTGAGGGTCGCACAGCGACCCCTAAGCCCAGCAGAAAGAAAGAGAGGGAGGCTGCACCGTAGCCATTTTGGCTTAGGTCTTTCATTCTTGGAACCCTGCCTGGCTCAACGACCCTCGGAGGACAAAGCGCAACACCTTTTCTGACCCTGGCCCGAACAAGAAGAAGAGGGGAGAAGCAGAGGAGACAGCGAGAGACCTACATTACATGGTTTTCCGGACTCCAGACACTACTCGTACCGGCCTTTAGCCGCGAGGGTCCTCGATCAGATCCCTCGAGAAAGAAAGAAACAGACCTCAAACAGGTTCGGGTTCGTTCGCCCGACACGAAGCGGGGATTTAGGCTTTGTGAGGAAGGGTTAAAGATGTTCCTTGGCGGAGGGACTCCTGCTTTCGTCATGCAAGCAAGAGACCTCGAGCCTAAAGAAGCAACGAAGTGGGTTCGAGCCAGCAAAGCAGGCAAAAGAGAGAGAGAACGAGCAACGCCAAGCCTATGCCCAGGCTGCGAGCTTGTATTACGGTCTGGCCAGCAGCATCGCTCATCTCATGATACTGAACCACTTGATTGCATGTGCCTGGTTTGGTGTCAGCCGCCTCAGCACTGACAACTGGGTTTTGGACAGCAACATCGAGGAGGAATGGATGGGACACCAGTATCTGGTTTGTCTCAATTGGGCATTTGCCCAACTCGGTGTTGGTAGCAGTTCCGCCAAGCCAACAAACAGTTTGGAGTTTGCATTCTGCATCCTTATCACTTTCCGCTCTTTGATCACATCTTCCACCCTGATCTCAACCGTGAGTAACTTGATGGCAGGGCTCAGCAAAATCAAGGAGGATGAGAACACCGAATTCCGGCTTCTTCGGTGCTACCTCTCGCACAACGACATCCAGCCCGAGCTGGGCCAGAAAGTGACGCAGTTTTTGCAGCACCAGTATACGCTTAGGCAGGAAGCAAGGTGGGGAGGCTTTCAGTCCAAATCGTTCTGTTGTGCTGCGGTTACCATGTTTAGCATGCCGTGGGAATCAAAGCATTTTGATCTTCAGGTCTGCGGACATGGACGTGCCCCTGCTTGAGCTGCTGTCCCATCAGCTACGAGGCGAGCTCCAATTTGCGAGGCACCGGAAGTCCCTCAGGAAGTTGGGATTTGTTGACGACATGATCGAGGGTGAAGACTTGCAGACGTTGCATGTGCTGCACCGCTTGGCCATGACAGCCCTGAGCAATGCGTCGGTGGCGAGCAAAGATATCATTTTCTTCAGTGGCACCAGGGCCTCGCACGCCTACCTCAAGCTGAGTGGCGACTTGATATATTTCACAGAAAACGCAGCGGAAAAGTCCGTGGACAGCAGTGTGTGGATAGCAGAGATTTGCTTGTGGACTCCTTGGGTCTACTTGGGCGACTTGATGGCAGAGGATGTCACCCGACTCGCCATTCTGGACGCTGATCAATTCTGCGAGATCATGTCGCAGAGCTGGCTCACTCAACGAGCCGCCGCCAAGCACGCCAGGCAGTACCTTGAAACTTTGAAGCTAAAGCAGGACCAAACGGCGTGGACCGACCTCTTCCCTCGCGACGATCCACAGCGCAGTGTGTCTGCGGGTCCCTTCGCAGCGGATCTGCCCAAGCAGTGCTGTAGCTTGGCTTGGTCTTGCTTTTGCTGCCTGTGGGCATGGGCCGTGGGCCCGGGAAGGGGTCACTAAGCTGCAACTAAGGCCCACGCTTCTTCTCGAAAGCGCCACAGGGATCCACGAAGGTGCGTCGGAAAGTCGCACCTGCGTCACCTGCGTCACCTGCGTCACCGAAGATGGAGTTCGACGATGTGAGGGGGCCTAGCTAGATCTAGCTGGACTTGACGGATAGTGTGACAAACTGGAGTCAAATCCCTGCCAGCTGGCACCCTGTACGGTCCAGTTTGCGATCGCTGCATTAACGGATACATAGGCCATTACTGCGACGGCAGCTGCTATGGTTACGAAAGATAATTAACTATGCTGTCCTTCTTGCGGTGGGGGCGCTTGTCGGACCTTGTGGTCTGATGCCGGAGAAACGCAGAAAAAGGGTCCCGGAGGATCCCGGAGTTTAGTTCATATCTCGGGGTGATTCAACGTCTCCCAAGCATGCAGAGCTCCTGTTTGGGAGGTCGCGCGTTACCCACGAACTTTAACGTGTTTGAACATCCACGGCTTGGACGCCGCATCATGGTAGGCTCACTCGGAGCCCCTGTGGGATGTTGGTAGGCAGCCGGCTAGGCAGTTATGTATAGATGGTCACCAGTAGATCTCGGACGTACTGCAACCGCCATGATGTCGCCGTTTCTCGAGTTTCACTGCAGCCCGCTATTCTTTTGATCGTCGAAGTCTTGGCTTGCGTGTGTCGAAGACATGTCGCAAGCACGCCGCATCTGCTTTCCGAAGCCAGTTGAGGCCCGGGGCATGAGTCCTTGAAGCAGAAAACTCTGAGCCGGGCAGAGGGCCGAGACATGTGACAAATCGCAACCCGATGTGAGCTCTGAGGCCGGGAAAGAGGCGACTGGGAGCGTGCCCTTGCCTTGCTCGAGGCACTCCCGGTTGTGTGATTCGGGCAGTCTTCTCGCAGCTCTCTGCCAAACCAGGAGATCCAGAAGGAGCGTCTCCTCCCGGTGCTGCACTCAGATCAGCACAAGAACTCGTGGAGCGACTGGGACATTGATGATGCAATTTGGACGTTTCGTCTTTGCCCAGGATCTCATAAGTTTCAACACGGCGATGGACACCTGCACTGGATCACAGCGCTGGGAGGTGGTCCTGCAACTCCTGGAGGATAATGGAAGTGGCAAGCTGCCAGGCTGTCAGGTCAGTCAGGTCGTTGATGTGAGTCCATGGCAAGGACCTACGGCAACACGGCCTCCGAGCAGACCTCCATACCGCTACCGCTGCAGCCAGTGCGTGTGCGCACGGTGAGCAGTGGCTCCCGCCCTACAATGTCGAAACGTCCCTTGGCATCTCAAGAAACTGAATGATGCACATGCTTGAGGCAACTGGGCCTTTTCTTGGCGGACGTTTGTGCTCGAAGACATCGGCCAGATGTGCAGCTGTACAGCTGTGAGCTTAGTGGGACCAATGTCTCTTTGAGAACGCAGTCCAGCAACTCTTTGCCAAGGCACCAAGCTCTTCGTTTGCGAGAAGGGGCTCCAATGGGAACTCGCTATACATCTACTTTCGAAGATGCCACGGCCTCACTGCAGGGGCAAGCTTTCACGCGCGCATCCGTTGCCGGCCAGAGGTTTGACGACGGCATAGCACTGGACTCGATCTCTTCGAGCATCGCCACCAGCTCAGCTATTGGAATCAACTTGGCTTCGAAAGCTTGGCAGAGACCCCAAGGCAATCCGAGCCTGTGCCACCCGTCGCAGTTGGGACTTGGCATTGTGGGTGCTCAACGAGCTCTGCCTCAGCCTGAAACTTTCCGAGTTTTAGGGGCCATCTGCCGTCTTTCCGCGCTATGCGAGGTGGCCGTGACAGAGATCCTGGAGCCAAAGCCTATCTTGCTGCCGTGGATGCGCTGGAGGTTGCGCTTGCCAGAGTCGCTGTGACACTCGCGCGACGACCAAGCAGAGCATCACCTACAGCACTAGTAGATGAGCCGAGCCTGTGTGCCAGGCCAGCAATGGTCCACCGGCATCTCCCGAGCTATTCGAAGAGCTTTGTCGTAAAGCTGCCTCAAGGCACTGCACTCGCACCGTGCCCAACGCTGTTCATGTAGTGCCTTGCACTTGCTGGCAGTTCGGTCTTCGCTGCCTGAGTCGTCCTTGTGAGGATGTTTGCGGTAATAGAGCATGTCTCCTGCATCATCCGGTCTCCGGGCGCCTTGCCCCTCCTTGAAGAAGGATTTTCCCGAGCCAAGTGCTGCGGACGTCTTTAGGCCGACATAGCCAAAAAGGTGTATTTCGAGCGCCGCCACTGACCACGGCGCCTGCCTCGTTTCCGGCCACGGTTTCCGTTTCATCTCGGTCAGGATTGCAGGTGCCAGAGCATGCTAGAGCTGGAAAGGAAGAGGACTCCCTAAGCAAGGGGCCCTTGCGGATACCCACAGCTCGGCTTCGGCGAAAAAGTTGAGCGAGCCTGCTGAAAGCACGAACAGGATGACATTCCTGCTATTTCGAATGAAGGAAACGAGGCCTGGCTCACAGGCTCATAGTTGGGCAAATGAAGCGGCCATGAACCGGACCTCGTCGGGCCTGCCGACAGTGCAGGCCGGGGACAAGGGAGCAGAAAGGGGGTTTCTTCAAGCCCGAGCTGCCGCAAATGCAGCCACCAGGAGGCCACAGCCGACTCCGGGGATCGCCTTCCCCCAATCGGACGGCAGCGCACCAAAGGCAAGGTTTTCCGCCGAAATGGCAGCGACACGAGAGTCTGCATGTCTTATTCTTAGGCAAGCTCCCGACAGCAAGAGTCTCAGCCGGCAGTGCAACAGCAGGGTCAGCTTCTTCAAGTCTGGCCTTGCCCTGAGGTCGACAAGAAGACGTTGTCGACGGCCACTGAGAAGACGGGCACTTCGCCCTCCAAAGCGTCAGCAGCTCTGGCATCGAGACCTTGGCCTTCCCAGAGTCTCACGTCCTCGGGCCTTGCAGGAGCAGCCGAAGCTCGGTCCGGGTGCAGCCGCAGGACGAGGACCTCAGAGGCTCCTTGAGAGAATGGAGATGCAGCAGTTCAGCCTGCAACCAGTGTACATGCCGGTGGATTGGTAGGCTTCTCCTTGATCAAGTACCTCCAGGACAGAGCCCGAGCAGTTCGCCTATAGCGAAGTTTCAGGAAACATCTTGAGCTTCACGAACAGCTACTGTAGCTGTACTCATCCTATCAGGTCTTGGCTTCTCAGAACAGGAAGAAGGCCACCTCTCTGCAAGTGTAGACTGTAGAAGCACATGTGCTGTGCCCAAGTAGCAGGCTTGGGTGGACCTCGAGTTTCTGAGAAATGTCTTGCAGCCCTGCCCCGAGAAACCTGAAGGTGCTGATGTAGGGGGATTGCAAGCCGGGTGAGTGCCATTGAGTGCCAACACCAGTACCAGGTCATTCAACAGGAAGCACCTCAATGAGCGAGAGGTGGGTGACTATTGCTCATGTCTCGAGTTGGTGATCTTGGACCTGTCAGGATGTGTTCGGGTACACGTCGCTGGCGCTTGCAAGCAGTGTCGGCCACGAGGGCGTTGTGAATCTACTGTTGGCCGGAAGCACAGATCAGGGCGTCTGCCGTTCACAGCATGCGCGAATCTGAAGACAATCTTGGCCACGGAAACGGTGCTTTCTCGTGGTCACCACATGTTGGATTGCGCTTTCCGTCCTGGAACTTACTCAGGAGGCTCAGGTGGCGAGCTTGTTTGGCAGCTCCTGCAGACAATACAAAGCATCCTGGTACCTCGTGCCAGGCCGACTCGAAAGTCCGTTGCAACCTTGGAAATACGCCTCTGCACTTGGCATCTCGAGCAGGCCATGCACAGTCATGCGCCACCTTATGTCGTGACTCCTGCGTGTATCATTGTACAAGCTGAACGGACCATCCCAGGCCTCCCCCACACGCTCTTTGCAGTGTCTGCAGGTCATGTTGCTGCGGTGCAGGTGCTAGTGCAGCACAAAGTTGCCCTGGTGTCCTGCCTGCAGCATGGGGCAGACGTTATGCCACTATGACCCAGGGACCTAGGAGATGCAAAGGCTCGTATATACACACACACATATACAGATAGATAGATAGATAGATAGATAGATGGATAGATATTTCAGAAAGGGGCCTACAGTACTCGATTCATTGGAGGCCGACAGAATCCGTCGGCATTCAATAGATCTCGAGAGCCCAGGACTCCAAGAACAGTGAAGGTTGGACGCCACTCATGTGGCCACCGGCCCAGCTTTCCAACTCCAGGTGCAGAGGCTATGTTGCAACAACCTGTGAACTGACGCTGCAAGGGCATCCATGTCTGGGCGTGCTGACGTGGTCGCTGCCCTGCTCGCTGCGCATGCAGAGGCCTGTGTCTGGCTTTACAAGACCCGATGGCCAGCGAAGAGGATAGCGATGGTTGCAGGCGAAGTTGAAAGACTCCCAGGGCATGACCGCATTGATGTGGGCAACCCGTGCGGGCCTTATTGCAAATCGTGACTTCGACAGTGTCGATCATGTTTGGGTCATGATCTGTGCAGCCAGGCCACGGTCATGTGGACGTCATGAGGTTGTTACTGGGTGACGGGTGTGGCCCCCAGACAGACACCTATCGTTGCATGTTTGTGCTGGGTGATTGCTCCTTCAGGCCAGACCTCAGCATAACGGACTTTGGAGGCTGGAGGCCAAGTGACGGCTCCTGCCGCCATGATATAAGGCCTTCCGAGCCTCTGGTTTCCAGCGGCGCGCGCACTCTCCGAGGCCACAGTGTGATGCACCACGCGCGGCAGCACAAGGCGGCCAGGAAGATGCTGGAGCGATTCGAGGCCTCGCAAGCGTTGGGGGGGGGGGGGGGGGGGNNGGGGTGCGTTTGTTGTCGGGTCGCCGGCGCCAGGCTCTGAATCGACGCCTGCTCCACTCAGCCAAATCCGGAGACCTCAACGAAGCGTCTATGGCGCTTCAGGCTAGCGGACTTGTCATGAGACGCACGGAATCGAAGGGGCTTGGAGGCCGGCGCCTTTGTGGACACACTGGATGCAGACGGTGCTAGTCCCTTGCTTCATGCTGCGTCCCAGCGCAACCTATCCATGGCGGGCAGCCTGGCCTTCACTGCCAGAACCGTGACCGCAAAGCTCCGAAGATGCAAGTCGTCCAGGTCCGGCTCCTGACGCGCCACGGAGCTGATCCGAGCTTGGAGGCTGATTGCCGGGCTTCACTTGTCTGCTTTCTTTCAGAACGGGTCCAGGCCTCTCGGGCAAGTTCTCCATGGCTTCGAAATGCAGAGCTTCCTCCTCAACATGACCTGTGACACAAGGGATGCGGATGCGGCGAACTGCATCCATCACCTCGTGAAGCTTTGAGGTATCAGACATCGATCCAAGAGGCATCAGTGGATGAGCGCTGTGCAAGCAAGGGAGAGCAAGGGCAACATGTGGCACCGGAAATGTCTAAACGCAAAGCTGCTCCGCGCCAGGTCCTTCGCGACGCAGTGAAGGCGAACAAGCTTCTGGTATCCGCTGCCAAGGAGGGATGGTGGAAGGGCGTCTTCCAGGCCCCGCCAGAGAAGAGTGCCGAAGAAGCAGGAGAGCCCAGGCAGGCATGAAGGGCGCGTCCGCGGGACGCTGCAGGCCATCGAACACGGGGCGTGGCTGGAGATACCGGACGAGGCAGATGCTGTCGACCTGCCAAGAAGAACAATGCAGTCCACCCTCTCACGTTTCTGCAGTCGCAAAAGACGCCGCTTGGATGGGCTGCAAGCCATGGCAGTGTTGAAGCAGTTCGGCGGCTTATACAGGCACGAAGCACGCTTGAACACAGAGGGAACTTACGTCGTCGGTGCAGAATGTTGGTGTGAAGGCTCGCGCATCTTTAAATGCCCGCGAGCAGTGTGGCTGGACTCCTATCCATTGGGCGGCGGAGGTCTCAGTTTCGCGGAGACACTGAGGACTGGTAGTCTCACTGAAAAACTCGGAGCCAAGGCTCACAGAAATTGGGCACAGGCTCAGGGTCGAATCTTTGCAAAATGTCGCAGCATTGTAGATTCAGTCGTTGGCAGGTGGCTTCAGTGCTCCATTACCACAAGGCTGATGTGCATGCCAAGGCCTTTTCGGGCGGGTGCCTCAATTGCCAATCGGGCAAACAAACGGTCAACACGCATCAGCTCCGTGCACAACCAGGTGATACCATAGTTCATTTGGCGGCAAAAAGTGCGGTGCCAAGAATGTCAATGAGTGACGGTGCCGTAAGACCTATATTACTTACTTTGACCTGCTTTGCTTTAAGCATTGCTTTCCCGTCTGTTGGTCAAGCTCTGTACATCTCTGTACTGTTGGCTGCAGGTAACCATTGCTTCAGCCTGGTTCTGCTGAGTTGCGCATCCGCTAGTTTGGATGTTAAGGCACCTTTGAGCGCTGTCCGCACTTTTCTTGAGCTCAGCTGAAGCCCGATGCTCAACCTGTTCGATAGGGCTTTGAAGGGCGGACCCCGCTGCAAGCCCCGGCCTTGGCACCTTGAGGGGTGCTCGTCTTTGTGGTGCATCGTGTGGGCATCGGATCTCATAGCTAGATGGATGCTTCGGATAAGAAGCACACCTTCAGGATTTGCGACCTCTAGGCTGCAGAAGGCATGAAGACAGAAACTGGCAGCTGAAGTGCACCCCCTAAGGCCACCGCAATAGGCGGAAAGGTTGCGGCCATGCTCTGCCTGCTGAAGCTGCGGGCTGACGCAAGCGTCCGAGGCGAAGGCGGCAAGCCTAAAGCCAGCATCAGAATGATAACAACAACAATAAGAGTCTAGTAATAATAGTAACAGTGACAGTAGTAGTAGTAGTAGTAGTAGTAGTAGTAGTAGTAGTAGTAGTAATCGTAACAGCAATGGTAAGAAACAGAATAAGAGTCAGAGTAAGAGTAGGATAAGATCAATAGTAATACTAATAGTTATAGCAATCGTAATCGTTTGTATTCTTCCCGCACCTTCTGCAACAGCCCCGTAGTCTTCTGCATGTCAGGAGCTCCCAAACAGTCTCCG